ATAACAGAAACTCAATTTAACTTTCGATTTTAATTTGCCAGTACATGACTTGAGACTGCTGCAAAAGTAGAAGAATCATTTCGTCGAAAAACTGAAAACGTTCGAAATTTGTGACTTCAGTTTCTATAACTGCATAGACTTAAAGTAGCTCAATTTTATGTTCAAATAGAGAAAACTGACTCAAAACAACATGGGAATTGTAAGCTAGTTCAGGCAGGGTAGCCTGTGTTTATGATTCAGGTAATGCTGTCAGGGTTGTCCTTAGAAGAGTTTGCTTGAAAAAAAAAGAGACGAATATAAGCTTTAAAATGTTTTTGAATCAGCATACCATAAAAAAAAAAGGAACTTTGGTGGTCCGTGTGAGGGTTTAACTCACGACCTTGGCGTTATCAGCACCACGCTCTGCCGACTGAGCTAACGGACCAACGGTTATTACTCAAGTGTTAAAATAAAAGACAAGTTCCTTAATTAGTCTACTACAGGACCGGAGTTTAAATGTTACCATCTAATTTTGATAAGGAATGAGCGCCTGGCATGTTAAAATAAAAGCCATATTAGATTCTAATCTACTGCAGGACCAGAATTTAGATTTTATCTGTGATCTAATTTTGACAAAAAATAAATGCTTGGCATCTTCGCTAGACTCCTTTCGGGATTTCGTATCACCCGAGTCATCAGACACTCCAAGGTCGTCATCTTCGCCATCCTCGGCTGCTGGAGATAGAGAGTAAACGACAACGACCAGGCTTTGTTCTAGTGCGAGTGGATAGCAGAGTGACTGGAATACAGTGATTTTGTACAGAAAGTCATCATCGTCCACTATCCGAGTTTTATGAGTGGATAAAAGTTGAAAAAATAACTGCCAAAAGAAAAGACAAAGAAAAGACAAAAAAAATATATTACTATGGGTCAAAAATCATGATCTTAGAGAATCCAGGTATCGATCCCGGTACTTCCCGCATGCAAAGCGGGCGCTCTACCATTTGAGCTAATCCCCCATTACACAGGGAATTCAATGAAAATCAAGACATGTAATGAATTATACTACTCATTGTTGTGAAACCATTTGAAAAAACTCGTCTCCATTTTTGGCTATACTGTTGCTATGGTAACCCTTTGTGTCACGAAAATGATAACAACGTGTTCATGTGATTGGGTAGTTTGTTGATCGGTTATCATGAGAGTGATAACAAAATCGGACGACCGCGCAGCAGGAGACCGATTCGTTTATCACGAGTTTGATTACTGACCAAAATTGGACGACACGAAGTCTTATTACCAATTAATCATAAAAATTACAATTTCCGAGAAAAGAAGAATAGCCAAGTTATGAAAGAAAGAGAAAGTTTCCATTAAAATACCTACAAAGGAGATGTAAACATTCTAAGGCCACCGCGCCTCCTACCGGCAATTAGGCACCAAAAACACAAAAGCAAGTGTACGCGCTTACGCACGCACGTAACTACAACTTTGAATTTGATTGGTTGATTTAAACTACAACTTTGAATGTGATTGGCTTATGGAACTGTCCGATAACAAACTGACCAATAACAAACTGTCCAACAACAAACTGTCCGATAACAACTTGACAAGTGAATTAGTGGAAAATAGGAGTTTTTTAAACCAATCACAATCGAGGAAATGGTAATTTTTATGTTTAAGAGTGATTATAATGACCCATAAAAATCTAACTACTGGAAACTGTTTTAAGCCACCTTAAATTAGCCTTTTTATTTC